GTTGTAATGTGACAAAATATGGAAAAGTTCAAGGGGTATGAATACTTTTGCAAACCACTGTAGTTTATAGTATGTAGCCTAGAAATGTTGATGCTGTGTTTACAGAGAAAGTTTTTAACCTCCAAAGCATACCTCACACATTTATTCATGTTACCATTAAGCATGTAAGCTAAGCTATGGCTACATTAGCATTACATGGCGCCTCACAATAATTTCAAGAATGCCTAATTCAAATAGTTTATCATTCAATCCAGCTGGAACCCAGCTTGTGTGTGTAAATCAGTTGTATTTGAATAAGGGTCAATATTCACCAGTACCAGCACGTTGGGAATATTTTTCCAATGAGCAGGATTTTATTTATTTATTTATTTTGTAAGGGGTCAGGATATGTTCACCCTCAGTTTACGCTATAGGTAAAAAGGAAAAAACGAGTGTGCTCGCTCTGACCCGCCATGATGGTGTGTTCTGATGTTGTTGCTCCCTGTTAATTTTCAATGGAATTTGTACCACAACTTGCCAGGTTTATTGGAAAGAGACAGAGCCTCCGATGAGAGGCATTATTGAGAAACCATAATAAAAAAGTATGAAGATTGTAGTTAGAGATGCCGAACCCCTTTTTTATTTATTTTAACAATGCCGGTGCCACGTGATTAATTTTAACAGATCGATAAGCTCCAGGGTAACATCAGAGTTGACAAGCCAGAACATGATAAGGAAAGAAAGAGATCTTTTCTGTAGTCGTCTCCTGTCAGACACAGCGCAGGGGCTCTAATGGTACGGGTGCACTCCAGCACTGATGCAACCCGCATGCACAGAGAAAGACGTGAGGTCCCATTCAGCATGTTTACAGACTTAGCTTATGCTACTTGTCGGTAAAAGCATGTCGACTTTGAAGTTGTGCTATCAGAGCAGATTAAATAATCACCTGACATGCTTGTTTAGTTCAGTGTTCATTTATGAACCTGTCTCTGACCACATGCTCCGGTGTAGCACTTTATTTTGGGAACGAAGCAACGAGGTAAAACTAAAGTATCGAACAAGTAACTTTCAGTCAGATCGATACGATCTGCGACCGACGCACGTTACTAGTTTTTTATTTTATATTTTTTGCGGATTATCAGACGTGCAGGACATGGAGAGTTAATAGACTAAGCTTTGTAGCTGAAGATATGTGGAGTTACAGTATTTAAAAAGCATGACTCAAGGTTAGTGGATCAGTCGCTAACACTTAGCTATGGAAACTAAAT